CACATGCGTTTGCACACACACAGATACTGACTTCATAGACATCTACAAAAGCAGCTGTTAGTGTCAAATTTAAATAATATCAGAATGTCATGTTGCTTCTTTTTTTTACCAAAGCTTTTAGTCATATTTCATGGATTGCTACACAACGGCACAGTGAGCCGAGCAGAGATCAAACATGAAGCAAAGAGGGTTACATGAGGGTCTTTTGTGTGGATTAATCATATGCTGATTTTTGGTGGCAATTATTTTGTTCCATCGATGCACTATTATTTTGTGCTTTATTATTTACACCTTCCACTGAACCCGGCTGCTAAAAACAGATCAATGACAGTGTCAGTTATGGAGACCAGTGAGTAATGTGTTAATAATAACTCTGCTTTGTAGAGATGTAATGTAAGTTGTGTTGCATCAATTTTAATAATGGGATCCTTGATTGGAATCAATATTAGAATCCATCTGGTTCTATTAAAACTAGGGAAGGTAATGTTAGAGAAAATAACAGCAAGAGACAGCTCGACTTTTAAAAATATCCAATATCCAACCAAAAGTCTTTTCTACTTCTGCTTTTCTTTACTTGCTTTGTTAGCAGTGCCAGCTGTTGTAGGTACAGTCTCCCTATCTGAAAGACTCCAGTCATATGCAATGAGATTGTGCAGCAGAGTGTGCACAGGGTGGAGGGTAAACAGTCAGTCATTTTCCTTGTGCAGAATAAAATGATTGGGTGGGCTTATTACAGCCCTGCAACAGTCACAGAGCATTAGATTTATTGATTGTTGTTGGGATGTAAAGATAATTCAACAAAAACAAATGCTTCTGAAATACATTACCTAACATAGCTGTAAGTTCATTTTTTTGCCCAGGAACAACTGTTTGATTTTTACATTTCATGTGATATGGCATGCACACTGCATGCCATATCAAAGGAAATGTAATACTACAATATCTATATTCATATTTTCAATGAAAATAACTTTGATTTTCATATTTTCAAACAAATTCAGTGTCAAATATTATTTGACAAGCACAACTTTTGTCAAAATCAATGAGTAAAAAGTGTATATGAAAATTGTTCTGTATGCATTTGCTTCTCATTGTTCCCTTTTCCTCTAATTATTGCCTCAAAAGCAAATATGGTAAAAGGCAAATCACTTCCTTTGAAAATCTCATAAAAGCTTTTGGAGATATAAATTGTTGCAATATTCGGGAAGAATTAGACTGGATTACATTTTTTAAAAACTGATCATGGAGTGGTTTTTAATAAATTTTTCTCATCTAACTGAAAGTTAGTTAGTATTTTTTGTATGTGGCAAATATGTGCAATATGAATCAAACATTTTTGTGTGTGTGGGCTGTGATCAGAAGGGCTTCTTTATTTTTTTACTAAAATACACATTTTTATCCAGCATAAAAAAGTACACAAATTGTAATAAGTAAATAATATTAATATAATGGATGTGTTTCAAAATGCAGAGATGTGGTTTCATAACGTTATCGTAGGACTGGAAAAAAACTGATAAAGAGAGAATTGCTTTATAATATCTGTATTTGAAGTCATCAATTCTTGAGTTAATCGGTAATGACCTTAACCCGGGTCAATTCCTTCATATATTTCAAATGGAACGTGTGACAAGTCACTAATCTCTTGCCTCAGTCAGAGCTGATAGTCTCTGATAATTCTTCAAAGCAAATCATATCATGAAATAATCTTTTCTAGTGTGATTAATTCACACAAGTGGGTGAGATTTATTTATTTACAGTCAATCTTCTACATAAATATCGTTATTTCACAACAGTGCATAACTGTATATGTAATTGCATTGTGGTGTCATACGAACACATATTTCATGGGGTATACAGTGCTGGTATGGATGTGAATGGACTGTAAAAGTAGAAATGTGCAATAAAATGTTTTTCACAGCTTTGGTCTGTAAAAAACTGTTTAAACTCCTTTTACAGTAGTTAGATGGTGAGTGTCTGCAGTTTATGATATGCTAAGTGAGCCTCAAGCCTTCTCCAGCTTTACTGACTAGCTGCTGACATGCAGCTCAAAACTGAAGAACAAAAGAGAAGAAGGATCTCAGAGAAAGCAGGTGCTGAGGAAGAAAATCCATGCTACAGAACTGACTGAAATTCGTATTTAACTGGCAGATGAAAATTTTTTTCATGTCTCATTGCATTGCTTCTAATCCAAATTTTACTGGCCTGCCCGGAAGACCAATTTCACACTTTTTCTAGATGAAACATAAAATGAGTATACCAGCAGTTGTTTGCACAGTATGAATTGGCATTTTCTCTGTGATTGTGTCTTTCTAAAAAAATACCTTCCTATCAGCCTGATTACCCTCCTCATTTGTCCATCTCACTTAATAGATTTGCATTGAATAAACTCCATTAATGTGTCACTCCTCACCACACAAACCATACAATTCAAAAGATAAAGGACCACACACACACACACACACACACACACACACACTCAAAATGCTTATTTCACTGCTGATGGTGACAACACATAATAAATACAGACTGTAGATTGTCTCTGGGCTGTTAGCGCCACCATATGGCCACACAGTAAAAGGAGCTGTGAGATACAGACTTAAAAATGAGTGCATCATTAATAAGGTCAAGTGCAGACAGGCTGGTGGTTCCTGGCAGCAAAGCCAGAGTTATGTTTCTCTATATGTAAGGGTCTGTAAAGGGGATAACACAAAGATTTGATAAAGCGTAATCACATTCAATTCCATCAGTATTCATTCATTATCATCATGATGATCCTTGTTGTTTCTCTGTTGCCGACTGCCATGCTGACTTAAGCCTTGAGCATTTCAGCTCCCCAAGGGGGAAGCCTTGCAACAAAGGTTCACAGCCCCATTTTAATCAGTTATATCAAACACTGGGAGTGTGTTTAGGCCATTATCTTTGGCTCTTGGAGCACTTGGATGTATGGGGTACATACAAATCCTGCATACTTTGGACATTGTTGGACAAAGCTCCTAAACCGCGTCCTTTAAGACATGGTACCTTAAATCCCATTGTGATGCTAGAGATTACACAAATACCATGACTGTGAATAGAGATTTATTTGTATCCAATGGGAAATAAAGGGTAAGATGTGGGATCTGTTGTAGTAGATGAAAGCCCTGGAACTCGGAACTACCTCTGTGCCTCGGGAATAACCAGACCTGGCCCGACAACAGCTGTACTTGTGTTGGAAATCATCGCATGCTCATGTGCTTTGGAGCCATCAGAATAACTGACACGGTGTTTCTACTGACCATGATATCCCCAAGCTCTGAATGTGGAGGAGGAGAGCAGTAAGAGAACAACCTGCATGAATCAGAGTTGTGCTAGTGGGAATACCAAAGCCAAAGAGAGTGGACAGACAGGTGTGGTTACATGAGACAGAGATGCTGCTCTGCTTGTAAAAATATGAGACAGGAGGGGATTCTGCAGCTGACATGTAGTGTAATAGAAAGAGAATGTGGTGGGTGTGTGTGTGTGTCAGGAGAAAAACAGCTTTATACTGAAGTAAGGGGTTCAGAAAAAAACAGACAGACGTCTAGAGATCCTGGTGTTATTCCAAACATCCTCCGTATTGTGTCATTCTCGCCTCTTTTTACACAAAGTCCTGGGAACTGCATTGGACTAGGCTTTGGCAGCAAATCATCAGGGAGTGGGATGTTTAGATATGGGAGCAGCATCTGGAGTTCAAGGAGAGGGAGAGCTGACTGAGGTGCAGTGACAGCAGTGGCTGTAGAAAACCTTGACCTGGAGCAGATTTCCCAGCGGTCACACAATTTTTTTAAGCACAGAAGGTGGGATGACACTTGGATCTGGGAAGTATTTTGCAACTCTGTCCGCCTCCTTAGAAGCTCACCCAAGGCGGGCTACAGATTGATGGGGCTGTCCCACAATCCTTTCCTGATCCGTCACATGACCTAAAAAATGTGGAGCCACCTGTTATTCTGCTGCACTGCGATCCATATTTGAGCTGAGGACATCTTGAGGTCAAGATGCCTGTTGTTTGTCTTGCAGTCGCATCTGTTAGCTCTGTGGGGAGTAGACTACACTAAGAGACAATGGAGGAGAGAGAGACAGTGAAGGGGTTTGGTGATCAGTCTCCAGGAAGGGGGGGGGGCTATTGTTGCTTTAGTAGCAGGAAAGCCAAGTTCATCTGACTTATAATGAGTCACAATTTCCCAGGGTCAGATGCTGTGATGAAGTGCTGCAGTGCCAAGAAACAAGGCCAAGCAGACATATATAGGAGGGGACCGGCCACCCTCTCATAATGTTTAAGATTTATTTTTGGTATTCATTGTAACTGGGTGTCTCCAAACTATGTTTTACTGTATAAGTTGGTGGTATAAGTTCAACTCAAAGAAACTAAATAACCATCTGATTCAATTCTTACAATAAAAAAAAACCCTACTGTACTTTACACATCCAGCAGACATGGAGAACCCCCATATGTGACTTGTTCATTGCCATGAGAACATGTTTGACCGGAGCAAACTTTCACAAACGGTGCCCAGATTTCCAGCAAACAGAACTACAAACATGGCTGGACCGTTCTCTTATTTACTGTACAAACTGTACAAACAAGTTTGATAGAAGCGCAGCCACCTCTGCTCGAAGAATGCTTATGGGTGTAGCCGGTAGCCATCTCATAACTGTCCAATGTTACATTATATTCATGTGTTATCCACCATCAGTTTTTATCTCCACCAACTCATCTTTAGCTTTTGAAATCAAGCAAAACAGAAGGGCAATTGGTGAAGCAGCAGCAGACTGAAAAGAGGGATTGTCCATTATGCTTGTAGCTAATTGTGTATATGACACCACAGAAATATGATATTGGCATCAAAACGTATGACATTGTTCATACCGGCATATATCGGTAATGAACAAAATTCAGGCTTTACCCTGTGATAAAAAAAAATGTCAGTGGGTCATGAATGAACTAAAGTCCGGTAACTCCCATTTTTTCGAGAGCCCGTGAAGGCAGCACGAGTCACGCGTTGTTTGCCTCAGTGCAAATATGGCGGATGATGGAGAGTCGCTGGAGTCCTGGCTTAGTAAGTTCATACTTTAACTCCTTTTTCGTGTTATTTATTCACATTAGAAGCGCACACTTATGTGCTGCATAACCGTATGTGTCCGAAACGTTATTTGGACTCACATGACACTGCTGAATGTGTAAAGTATGGAGGTAAATCGTCTGTGTTGTCAGAAAGTGGCTAACACAGACAGCTGCTGGCAACTAATAGCTGTCGCTAGCCAAAATCAGCTCTGATGTTTGGTCTACCCTAACAGTCGGCATGTTGAATTGCAAAAATGTGGTTATTCTTTTCTACTAGTTTGCGACAATCCGCCTTTTGTACTTGCTCCCTGGAGCTAAAGACGGTTGTTGTAAACCCCTTCAGGCTTTAACTTAATCCAAGTTCAAACAAGACTTGCTACAGCAACAGCAAACTGGACCAGAGAAGTGCCTAAAGATTATTCATAACGTAAGATAAGGCTGAAAAAGTCTGACAACAGCTGTCTGGGTTGTCTGTAAGCTGATCCCGGGAGGGATATGGCTTGATACTCGAGGGTCGATTTAATGTATCACAGAGATCCAACCTTCATTAGCTTCCCAGGGACAGGATAGCCTGCTTACCTAAGGAGAATCTGGTGACTAAATGTGTGTCAGGGCTGCATGTTCATAAGAGATGATATCCTTCTCTATTTCAGACAAAGCCACCAACCCCTCCAACAGACAGGAAGACTGGGAGTATATAATGGGATTCTGTGACCAAGTCAATAAGGAGCTCGAAGGGTATGGTCACATTGTTTCAATAAACCCACGCTCACCCATAACATTGAATCACACCCATCTAATGTTGCTCATGTGTGCCCTCATTGTGGTGAACACATGGACCTTATTATAAAGCCTGTTATAACCCTGACTCTGGATTTTTCCTTTTGTAATTGAGTTTGTATTGCTTTGTTTCTTCCTGTCATATTTTTCAGCCCACAGATATCCGTTAGACTGTTGGCTCACAAGATTCAGTCCCCTCAGGAATGGGAGGCGATACAAGCATTAACGGTCTGTAGTGTGATCATTTCACTGGGTTTTTCCTTCTGACGTCCTTTAACATAACATAACAGTTTGATATTTATGTCAGCTTGTTTTCCTTTCGTAGGTTCTTGAGGCTTGTATGAAGAACTGCGGGCAAAGGTTTCACAACGAAGTTGGGAAATTTAGGTTTTTAAATGAGTTAATTAAGGTTGTTTCACCCAAGGTAAGTCATATAAATGCCCCAACCTCAGCTGATGGGGATATGTTTCCTTGAATTGATGTTTGGTGTCATTCTAAGCTGTGCGTCTGTTATTTTTCAGTATCTAGGAGACAAAGTGTCAGAGGGAGTAAAGATAAAAGTGATTGAGATGCTGTACAGTTGGACTGTGTCTCTACCGGATGAAGCAAAGATCTGTGAAGCATATCAGATGTTGAAGTCACAGGGTAAGACGCCAATCACTTAAAAACTGTTCCAACGTACTTCAACGAAATAACACAGTAAAACAAGTTGAATGCATAACTGAGACGTCCAAAAATAAAACACTAGACAGTTGATGATGACTTTGTTGTGCTTGTGAATCTTTTTAAGGTAATTTTGTCGCATTGAAGTCCCGAAACTGTCATTTCCACAGTAATAGCTGTTGCCATTTTTATTTCAGGTATTGTTGTAGTTGACCCAGAAATCCCTCTTGATGCCACATTAATACCATCACCTTCTCCGCGACCAAAGAATCCTGTGTTTGATGACGAGAAGAAGAGCAAGGTGAAAAGAATTATTTTGGGATCTGACTGATAATCATAACTCAGAGATTAAAGATTTTTTTAATTAATAATTAAAGATACAGATTTTCAGTTAAGTGTTTTTTTTTTGGCATGGCATATAGAATAACCCTACCTTACTATTACCCATGTACTATATATAACACCTTTAACAATATTTTCCCCTTATTTCGCTTTCTTGCTGAGCGTTTGAAGAGAAGATCAATGCCACTCTCATATCTGTCTATTAAGTATGAAGCTACAGGCAGGAGATGCCCAATTTAGCTGCAGGAAGTCACTGCCCCCGGCTGGTTGTTTTTGTAGGGATTAAACAAGCCAGATTTAACTGGTGCTTTTTTTTTAACCTTTGGATAGAGCCAGGGTAGCTGTTACCCCTTGTTTCTGGTCTTTATGCTAAGCTCAAATAACCGTATCTGGGCTGTAGCTTCGCATTTAACAGATAGATATGAGAGTGGTAACAAGAAAGCAAATAAGCATATTGCCCAAAATGTTGAACTATTGCTTTAATTGTTCTGTATGGATGCAGCCACATAATCACACAATTAACCAGTAAAACCAGTATTTCAAAGCAATATACTTTCATGTTTTCTTTAATTCTTTACTAAGAGTTTTATTGTATAACCTTCTTGCTACATACTGTAGAAAAGTTTGAAAGGATCAAAACTGAGCTGCTCTTGTTTTTTTTTCTACCTCATTGGTTGCCAAAACAGGTTGCGACTGCATGTTTACTTTGTGTTGACTGCAGTTGATCTATGGATGAAGTTTGTTTTTCCAGGGTCTGTGAGCGAGTATGGCTTTACTGCTTGTGTCTGGGTAATCTGTGGGAAACGAGCTCGAGTGTTTGCTCACTGATGCCCCTGTCGTGTCTCTGCAGAGATTGTCAGAGCTGCTGAAGAGCAAAAAGCCTGAAGATCTGCAAGAGGCCAATCGGCTCATCAAGAACATGGTCAAGGAGGTGCGTCAGCGTCAAAGTGAAATATTCTGTTTGTGTTTTTATTCCTCCTGAGTTCTGTTGACTTTCATGTAGAGAAATGAGAACTTACTGCACACATTTCTCAGTTCTCATCTCAATGCGTGTGTTTATACTGACAGTCAAGTGTGGGTTTTTTTCTCCAGGACGAGGTAAGAACACAGAAAGCGACAAAGCAAAAAAGCACACTGGAGGCAGTCAACAACAGCGTCAAACTCCTTAATGAGATGCTGGCTCACTTCAGCCCCGAAGAATCCACGGACGGAGACAAGGAGCTCATTAGGGTTCGTTTAAGGCTCAGCTGACCTTTTGAAACAACTTAACTTATTTGGCATTAATTGACATTCCTGCAAACACTGTTATAATAGTACAAACCTTGCTCCTCCTTAAAGCCCCAAAGCAGTGCAAAGTAATGTACTGCTGTTTAATTTAACCTTGCAGGAAACAATGAACATACCTTAATTCTGAGACAAACCAGTCCTTTCATTAGGTGTCAGGTATCTGAGGTGATAGCATTCTCTGCAGAGGTGTAACTATAGCATACATTGCTACAATATTGTAGTCTGTATGAAAAACACTTTTCTTTTTATATCTTAGGGTGTTGAATTTTCTGAATAATATTTAAGATGTGAACATTCAGTCATTTTTTCCATTATTTTTCCAGGAGCTGTATGGTGATTGTGACAAGCTCAGGCAAACAGTGTTTCAGCTCGCCACTGAGACGGAGGATAATGACAACAGCTTGGGTAAGAAGTCCTGTAATTTGTTCCCTATTGATTCTGATGACGTACTCTCGCTATCCTAATTCAAGTTTAAACGGGTTGAGTCATGATTTAAGAGACATCTTGTGCTGATGTAAGACCAGCATCCTATCAGGCCAGAATAATAAAAGAACATTATGCTTACACAATTCCTAAATTTAGCAAACATGGTGGGATTTTTTGTTGTTGTTGTTGTTGTTGTCTCAAAAATAAACCTCAGTTGTCTTTCACCTTTTAAAATTCACTCATCAGGAGACATCCTGCAGGCCAGTGATGACCTCTCCCATGTTATTAATTCCTGTAAGAAGATTGTGGAAGGACTGACCATCAATGGAGAGACTGTAGAAGCACAACAAACTCAGTCATCAGCCAGACAAGGTACATTTCAACTCTGTACAGCATGACAGTAATAATTATTCCATTTGGCAATGCAGTTTCTGCCATTTTTCATAAACGCTTCTATTTTGAGTCCCTCACAACTGATTAATAGACAACGGCCAGTCATGTAACCGTAATAAAACCTCATAGACCGTGTTTGAAAATATGTGGCAATGTGCAAAGAACACATCAGCCTAATAAAAAGTCTGAACATGAAAACATTCTTAAAGAGCCTGACCAATGAATATACTGCTTTGTCAAACCAGAAAGTCAACAGTGTAGAGTGAGTCAGAATTGTTGTTGTGCCTGGAGGTAACAAAGTAAGTAACTAATTAAATCATTGTTTTTTTTTAAGGAATATTTATGGATGTCATACACAAGGACCACAATAACAAATCACAAGTCAAAACAAGCCTTTGCTGCTGTTTTGAGATACTGCACCCACAAATATGTTAAGCTGCAAAAAGACTACAAAACAATGAATACAAAATGATTTTTTTCCTCCTAACAATGTCTGATTATCAGCAGCTGGGTTTCATGGAACATTTTTCTGACTAGGTGAGACGTTTCTCGTAAGAAATTATGCAAAAGTACAATTATATAGTTATAATAATAATAGTTCTCGATGATCTCTCTGTGATCATCTTGAGCAACTTGGACAGTGTTCCTGGAACCAACATACAGAAGCTCTTGAGTTTGTCAAATGTTGCTCTTTGATTTTTCTCACAGCAGTATTATGATGTGGCAGTTCCCAGCAGTAGAGAGGGAAAAAAAGCTCTCCCCTCCCCCCAATAAAATAACATGCAAAAAAACTAACTAGTCTGCATGGCTAGGCCACTAGGGATAAGTTGGAAAACCTCTGTATATGTTTGTGTGGAAGTTTGGGCGAGCTGACCCTTTTAAATTTTGCACAGACAGTATTACCTGAATATACTATCAAATACATATTTGTTTTCTTACTGCCTGTGTTTTTCTCCATTTGACAGGCCGCACAAACCAATCAGAGATTCTGATTGATCTTGTGGGTCTGGACATCCAAAGTGTCTCTCTACCAGAGCAGCAGCAGCCGCCGACATCTTCTCTGTCTATTCCCGCTGACCTGCTGTGTGGATCTGCTGCCACAGACGCTCAGTCGCCCAGTCCCAGTGCTCACTCTGCAGCACTCTCCCTGCTGGATGAAGAGCTACTATCTTTAGGTAAAATCCAATTTAATGAAGTTGATTTTTCTTGCCAATATTAGACGTTAAAGGTTAACTTCAGTATTTTTCAACCAGGACCACCCTGTAGTGCTTGCTTTTGCTACTGACCCGCTCAGAGGGTTATTAAAAGTGCCTGGCAACAGTAAAGTCAAGATCGCAGCATATAATAATAATTCATATATATATATATGAATAAGAAGAATCTAAACCAGCCCACAATGATTACCTTGTAGCTCATTTCATGGTTCTTGTCCCCCATACGGTCTGGGTTGAAAAATACTGAGGTTACCCTTTAAGTGTTGTTTGTTTACATGCAGATGTGACATGTTTTGACACATTTGTTTTCATTCACAGGCCTCAATGAACCTGTACCTGTTCCAAGTAAATCCACACATGTAAACCTGAGCAATCCTTTGCCATCTTTACAGGTATTTAAATTAAATGCAATAATTTATACTGATGCCAAGTATTATCTTATGAGTAATGTCAGTTTTCTACCTTGTATTCCAGGATTCCAGTCAAGATTTGGATCTTTTTAACACCACTTCACCTTTGGTTCCTGCATTCTCTACATCTTCGCTTTTTCCAGATGCCCTCTCTGTGACTGGTGCTCCAGTTACCCTAACCAAGTCTTCTACAACTGCCTCTGCCTTGAGCTTCCCTGGCCCTGTCTTCTCCACACCTCCGGTTTCTACAGAATCAATCTCAACGCAGTCCCTCAATTCAATATTGACCACGGTCTCAGCTGCACTTCCTCAGTCATTCAGCATGACCTCACCCGTACCATCAGCCACCCCTGTTGCTCCACAACAGCCTTCAGCGTCTCTCAGTAACAATGTGCAAGATCTCGCCTTGCTGGATCTGGGCAGTCCTAAAACGTAAGTAATACTTGCGCCGCGAGGTAAAACGGGTGGAAATATGGATCGGTGCTGATCTTTGTGTATAATATTTTGGATGCTGCTGGATTATGTTTTTAGATTATTTCAGTAAATTATGCATTTCTTTTAAAAATTACAGTGATTGCAGGTGTCTAAGCACTGAAGTTTAAAGGCACTTCTGCCCACTGAGCACTGAACAGTGATTTGTTTTTTTCTGCCATATGACATTTCAAGTGCCTCACAAGCACTCCAATGGCAGATTGATCTGCAGAATTCCATTAACTTTTGATAAAAGTAATCTGTAGGTAATCCTGCAGCCACTTAAAGCACAGGGTTTTGAGTACTGTAACTAAGCAACGTCGCTCAAAGTAGATGGTGAATGTTTTTTTTTAGAATACTGTCTAAATTAGATTTCAAACCTCAGAGCATGTTTGTACTGTCATGATTTAATAAAAATTCAGTTTGTGACTGATCATTTTTAAAGCGGTAGTGCTACCACTCATTTGTTGTGGTTGAGGTTTTCTTTTGATTTAGTGTGAAACCAAACGCATTCCACTAATAACTACAAAACCTGACTGCACAGTGCTTGTTTTAAAATGTCAGGTAGCATTTTTTTCATTCTACGTCATCTTGTTATCAATGTATATGTCTGTCATTACAAGTTTAAGCTTTATGTGAACCTGTAATGTCGACAAATAAATGTTGACAAAGAAACTTCAATTATATACACAGTACACCCAGTGCGATGGACTTTGGCAGCATGGTGGTCAAGAGCGAGGACATGCTAGCTCCTGCTGCGCTGTCTTCCAGTCTTGGTGTCACCTCCACTTCACTACTCCTAGGAGGGATGCAAGAAGGGTCCACTCCTCTTCCTGCCAAGAGTCAGGCAGATGACAGTCCTCTGTTACGCTCCCTGTCCCCCATCCTCCCTTTGAGCCAGGCCAGTCCAGGCATGGGACAAGAGGTGTCCCTGGCCAATGTCTTTGTCCCTTTGGAAACCATTAAGCCAAGTGAGTTCCATGAAATAGGCTCTCTGTTTTTGTTTGTGTGCTTTATGAGGATGTCAGGTGATTTTATTAATAATTTTATGTAGGAAAATGTTGATAAACAGATATTTGATATAAAGATTTTGATATTTGAGACAAATTTATTCATGTCATTTTTATCGACCTGTAATTTAAGTGAATGAACTGTAAAGAAATAGGATCAATTATGTTTTTTGTGATGATGATTTCACTGAAAAGGCCAAACCTTTGGTTTTGTAAAAGGTTGCAAGATCTCCCTCCATGCAGTTAGCACTGGAGCAGGGCAGACATACTGTAGAGGACAATTATTCTCATTTGATGAAAAATCTAATATAACAGATTATATTGTGCACAGATTACATAGCGTTTATAACAGTTCTACTACATGACAAGCAGGCTTTATATCCTCAAAAGTTAAAAATAGCAGGCATTATAGGGATATCAACCACAATGATTCTAGTAATTGGTTGCCATTTCAACAACAGCTTTATGCCTAATCTCTAAGCCTTGTTAACATACCCTGCAGAGTGGATAATCGCATTAGAGATAAATAAAAGCAGAGTGGAGAGTTCATGACTCTATAGTGCAGGTAATTATGTTACCGCCAGCAGTCGGGCAGAAAATAAAACCTTCCTCCATATTTAAGATTGATTGGTGGTTGGTAAATTCAACTTTAGACATTGCTGCCTCTTAGTGGTGACAGTGGGAAACTTGATAAAACTGGCAAAGACACTGGGTGATACTTGGTCTTGATTGTAAACATTTTTATTGTTGGCTGACAGTAATTATCAAAGCATGTGAAAAAGAAAGGACATGTCTTCTGTAGAGATTACATTAGGAGCAATAACAGTGGTGTGTTTGTGAAGACTACACAGCTAATTAGTGATTAGTAATCACCCTCCCCCCCTTTGTTTGCTGTATTTAAGGTCAAGTCTGTCCTGTGACGGCATATGACAAGAACGGGGTCCGCGTTCTGCTGCATTTCGCCACCGACTGTCCAGTGGGCAGACCTGATGTACTGGTGATGGTGGCATCCATGCTTAATACAGCCCCGCTGCCTGTCAGGAACATTGTTCTGCAGGCTGCTGTGCCCAAGGTGAAAGCTGCTGTGATATCACTATTACTGCACAGGATGCCACATAGTGATTTCGGCCGATAATTTAAGGTTGTTACTTGTGTTTAATGTACACTGATGTCTGTTCTGCTGATTCTACAGGTGATGAAAGTGAAACTGCAACCACCCTCAGGGACAGAGCTGGCTTCTTTTAACCCAATCCTTCCCCCTGCTGCCATCACTCAAGTCATGCTGCTTGCCAATCCTCTCAAGGTAGAGCTCTGCTTTTTTTGGTGTTCATACAACACTTGATTAATGCAATATGTAATGTATTAATTGATAGAGCACTTTCTTTTTTACCCATGTTTGAGGTCATACGTATTATTATATCCTATTTGAGGAGATAATGGTCGCCGACATTGACAATGCACAATGATGTTGTGAGTTCCAGCTGCCAATCTGAGTGTGTGCATGTGTTTTGCAGGAAAAGGTTCGGATGAGATACAAACTGACATTTACGCTGGGAGAGCAGTCACACACTGAAGTGGGGGAGGTGAATGAGTTCCCGCCCGCTGACAGATGGGGAGCTCTATAGCCCTGCACTAGACGCGACTTCTTTAACAATTGAGTTTGGCAGTGCAGCTCAGAGGTCAAGAGAGGGGGGCGTTACTGGAAGACTTTTAGAGAGAATCTGAAGAATATAATTTAAACTTTAATGAACTTTGAAGGATTTTGTTCTGCTTGTGGTGGCCCACTGAAGTAGCCAAATTCCTGTAGCGTACATCCAACTTAATCTTTACTACAGTGCCAGAGATAGTTGGTGTGGTGCAGTAACAAATGGTATGAAGTGGCTGAATGTCAAAGATGGTTATGTGGGGGAATTAATTGATAATGTTAAGTATTAAGTTATTACTGGGGTTTTTACTATTATTATACCATTTTGCTCTCTTTTTGATGTTCATATTTATTACTCCTCCCTCGGCAATGTCAGACCTGAATAGAGGATAGAGAATACTTGCACTTTTGGATGCCAGACAGTCTTAATATACAGCAAAAACACATGTTAAAGGAGATTGTGAAGCCAGGGTCATTTGAACATGTGACCATAACCTACATTTTACATGATTTGCTGCAGTGTTTTACGCTGAACACACTGGACTGGAGCAGACAAGAGCCCCTCTGTGGCTGAATGAGAGGCACTCACAGATCGGCTCATTAAGAATCGGTTACCCTCAGTTGACTTCCAGTATGCCCCACAATTGCTACTGAATACTGTTACTTGTCTTGACTCATATTCTTGTCATGCTTATTAGTACTTTTCAGTATTTATTGTCATGAGTGTATTATTATTATTTATTTTGGTTTGGGAGGACGGCATCAAATCTTTCAATCTCCTGTTTTGCAATTGACAGCTGCATTCTTTCTGCATACTCTTCTTATGATGGACATTAAGTATTGCAATAAGAAAGGCACAAACCAGTTATGTCTAAAAGGCTTTAATGTTACAAAATATTCAGACATGCATTTTATAAAATGTTACTTTTGTTTTTCTTTGGCAGAAAGGAATATTGTTAATGTTAATTAAATGTCACTGGTTTGCCCTTGCTCCTGCTGTTAGACCATGTTATGGGAACCAAGTTAATGGGGTGCTGTTATTTTCGGAGTCAACTGTAAATGTTTAGCTTGTGTGGGTTTCCTATAACAAACTTGCGAAATATTCAATTAGTAAAAATTTGGTGGTTAATTCAGAGCATTAGGCTCATCAAGAACAGACTTCTTTATTTTTGTTCTTCTGGGGCTATTAGTGCTATATGGGAGATTCTCTACATATTTCTTATAAAATTATTTATTTGTCTTAGATTGTTAAATAAACTTACCATTGCATATTTTTTGAAAAGCTATTTCTGTGCATGGGAAAATAAAGAATGAGATTGATCTATTTGTAAAATTTGTTTGCATATTATTGCTTCTTTTTTCAGTGTCCATTGACCAATATCAGTGCAATAATGCAATAATTACTGATGGATAATAAGGTAATAAGCTCCTCCTAGGTTTTGTTTGTAGTGGTAGTAACAATTGCTGTTACATAAATGTAGTGGAGTGAAAAAAAAAGCATCATTCCCGCATCTAAGTATAAATTAAGTTGGTATAAAATGGAAATACTCTAGTAAAGTAAGGGTACAGTGTCAAGATACAAATGTTTTTCATGTGTAAACCAACGTAGACTGTGTAAGGCTGCGTGAAGAGGATTCACTCCTGTGGTACAGTACAATGCAGCAGCGCTCCGTTGATCTGGCGCAGCTGTGCGCACTCCAGCCGACGCAAACTGGCGCTCCGGACAGCGCAGCCGCAGCAGAACAGGCGCCGACAGACACAGCAGCAGCCATGGCAGACGAAAAACCCAAGGTGAGGAGGGGACTTTGTAAGGGGGCTTCTTTCCAGTCTTTACCTCCGTGTGCGGTAATGGTACAGATAAAAAAGCCGCCTGTGAGACCAATTCATCAACGGGCCTATGTTTTCATTTTTTTTTACAGAGCCGGCTAACGGCACAGACCACACAGCTACCGCGTTAGCTAGAGAGCTAGCGGGTGTAGTTAGCATAATAAGCTAACTAAGCTAATGAGCCCAGACCCCGGCGGTACGAAAGAAATAAAAATGTCTGCTCCGTTTAAATACACCTAATCAACACCTCTCAAATGCCGCTGTCAGTATTGGTGACGTGTAACGGTATAGTGGATGCATGTCCAGGTAACTTTAGCAAGAACCGAAGAAAGGTGAGCAGCGTTTAGAGACAGCAGTGCACAACAGCATCGGGCCGAAATGAATAGTTCGACCGACAAAACCCGCTAAGTGTTAGTTGATATCATATGAAATCGTGTTAATTCCGCTCATTACCTGCACACCCAAGTGTCTCACGATCCGGGGATTGTTGATAACGTGCAGGTTGTAGTTTCCACCCCGACTGGGCCGTTCGGCTTTATTATAAGTTGTAGGCCATTGTCAATTGACTGTCTCAATGCTAATGGTAATGCTAACGTGAAGTTGTAATGTTGCCCATGTTCTGTGCTCAGTAACCACACCAGCCCTAAGATCTGAGCTCACCGCCAGATGTCAGACAGATGTAACGGCGGAAAACAAAACACTGTGCACATATGTGATGCGAACAATACAGTATACTTTGGCCATTAATCATTGCAGTACATCAATTTTGCGTCTGAGCCTGCCGTAAGTGGTTAAGTGGTTGGGGGATTACATGCATTACACATGCCCGAGGTCCCACTTCACCGAGCTTCTTGTGTTTCCTTGAATCTCTTTTGGAAAGTAACTTAACTCTCTGCAAACTTTGTGTTTTTCTGTCTTTCAGGAGGGAGTGAAGACGGAGAACAATGAGCACATCAACCTGAAGGTGGCGGGGCAGGATGGCTCAGTGGTGCAATTCAAGATCAAAAGGCACACTCCTCTCAGCAAACTGATGAAAGCTTATTGCGAACGGCAGGTGAGGCTGCTACACAATTACGTCTTTATGTTCACCGCAATGCTGGTGGCCTGAATAGATGCTAACTGGAGCCCGGGAACTCTGAATAGACCATAATTGCCTTACTGCTTACGCAATATTCTTGTGCATCCCATTTCAATAGATCATACTGTCATGAATTACTGCTATCAGGTTATTGAGACACACACGTCACAAATATCAAACCTTAATAAAACATTTTACGCCAGCTCACTTTTAATATTTTCAACTAGTTGTCATAGTTTTCTTGGATGAAATGAAGTGAGAGAGAAACGTGGATGCGAACCTGGGATTTTATTGTTATTATTAGTACCTTAACATTGAGGTCACCTGGGTGCCCTATAATGTTGATTTTCAATATTTAAACTTAATATTTCTTGTTCGTCCATGCAGGGGCTGACAATGAGACAAATACGATTTCGATTTGACGGTCAGCCCATCAATGAAACAGACACACCCTCGCAGGTAAGGCCGTGCACAACCACTTTTCGGTATCATGAATGAGAGACTGAATACTATCCTCACAGTGTTGCTACCTTGGACATTTGTGCGTGACTCAAATTTTACACTCCGTTTTTATGTTTTAAGCATGTGGTCAACAACACTTGAACAAAAGTTTAAGGTCAAAATTCTTGTGAAACCCAAACAGTGTTTTTCCTAACGTCTATCACTATCCACTATTTATATTTTGAGAGAGCAGTGAATCAGATAAATAAAACTTTTTTTCTTCCGATTTTTGCATGGTGGCTACATTCTTAAGCACAAATAAACATATCCACGCCACCGCATTGCCACGTCTCTTCGTCCTGTCTGCTGTGGCCGTTGCTCTGCTTCTGTGTGCAGCTCAGCCCGGCCCTTGGTCACACAGACCTGCAGCTCTTTATACAGCCATGACACAGAAGTAAAGCAGAAGAGAGAGTCAGAGAGAGCGATGCAACCTGGTTGCTAGGTTTTTATAGAGTCCCGACCTCATACCCTGTACATTGCCCAAAGGTTGATGCACGAAAATGTCCCAAAATTCAGGCAGATGGCAGTGTTTCTGCAGATACAGACAATGCCTCACACCTCTACTGGGTCATGATTAAAAGAGGGATTACTTTGTTTTTTTATGGGTGTACACATTATATTTAGGAAAATCTTACTCATTCTGCTTTTTTAAACTGATATTATAGACTGTCTTCAGGGTGGACACACTCTGCTGTTACCTATGTATGTAATGTGTTACAGTGCTGGTTGTATAGTAATAAAGGACAGACTTTACAAACATCATTAAGCAGATGTGAACAGATCAGGGTCCATGCTGCAGCTGTGCTGCCTCTTCACGTCCATAGAACACCTGCCCATCTATCTATTTTGTGATAACTGTTGAGCCAGCCTTTGACATTAGCACACCTAACAGTCAGTTTCAACACTTCCTAGGTGTCTTCACAGTAAACCAGTGGCTTCACAGTAAACCACTGCCTTCACATGAAAATGCAGTTAGACTGAAATACAAGCAGGAATTGTTAAGTTAGTCATTAGAAATTAAGCTGAACAGGAAACAGCAGTGTTGTCACTGAGTTTGACTCACAACTGTCAAATGGTGATATATAGGGCCATGGAAGTGCTACAGCAATTGTCATGTTTGTCACAGTAACTAGTTCAATAAAACTGACATTTGAACTTTTTCTTGCAGCTAGAAATGGAGGATGAAGATACAATCGACGTGTTCCAACAGCAAACTGGAGGCTCTTCTCTTTAAAGACTGTTTCCTACGAACATCCCTACCTCCCCTTTTCATCCCAACATGTCCAGTCTTCAGATGCTCATGACCAGTGTTGATACCATCCAGTGGAATACTTTTGCAAAATGCTCAAAGGCAGCAGCACAGTTGGTGTAGATAGATTTGATCACACTGTCATACGTATGTTAACATGTTTGAACTGTGCTGTGTAGACAGATGTTCTGTTTCCCCTGTAAGTTTTGAAAGAAAACTCCTTGGTCCTTTTTTTTTTTTTTTTTTTTTTTTTTTTGTCTTTTTTTTTATATACTTTGTCATTGAGGTTTTGATTCAGATGGAATTTTGTTATTGTTGTCAAGTAAGCTTGCGTTTTAAATTCACATCTGATGTTATGAAAATGTATTATTGGAATAAATTGAGTCTTTTTTTTAAATGTATGTCTATGTGGTTTGTTATATGGATACTTTTAGGACAGAGATTCTCAAATGTTTTTATGTCAAGTATATGCACATTAGACCACAAGCCCCTTAATTTGAAAGGTTTTTGAGGAATTTCCTCTGAGTATTTTATTATTTTTTAGTTTCAAGATGATAAAGTCTTCATAGTCAGAATTATCAAGTGGGATCACTATTTATTATGATCAATATAAACAGCCAGCCTTATTTTGTCTCTTGTCCAACTTCCAAAAAAATTTAAAAAGTTAAACCATTCTATTCCTCTTGCTGCAACCCCGTATTGGTTCCAAACCTTTGCTTTAGCAAACTAAACCAGCATTAAAAGAAGATGGTCAACTGCTTATCAAGACAGCGTATTTGGTTTCTTAGGCAACAGTAAACCGGAGATTTTGTGAGATTAATTTGTAATGCATTGTTCTAAATATCAGACTACAGTTGTATGCAAAAGTTTGG